TTATTTCTCATCACGATGCCAAACCTTTTTTTTTATTACAGTTTGTCCAACTTGAAATGCTTCAATGAACTTGAAGTTTAAAGATCGAATCTTATGTATCAGCCAAAATTGATTGGAATAGTGAAACCGTATATCCAGATGAGAATATCAGGATGACATCTCTCAGTTCTGTGCGGTGTTGGTGGGTGAGTTTCAGCCGCGCCGTTCGAGCGCGAGAACAATAAACAAAAATACTGGCGTCAAGAACAGACCGCCCGAACTCGTATTCGCTCGTACCCCCCGCCCTGCAAACGGGGCGCTGGGATACTCTGATGAGCTTCACAGAATCTTGTGAAGGAAATGACATATGACCTATGAATAAAGCATCTGGCGGCAGCTGTTCAAGACCGCAGCTAGACAATGTGCGCAAATGCTATCCGAAAACTTCCCAAAGAATGACGTAAATTCCATACCGGATGTGATTTCTGTTACATTGCGGACCATGTGGACACAATTTTGAGCGTCGCTTAATGCAATCCAACCGTTCGTGGTTCGAAACGGAGCCTGAGCAAGTGATGGGAATCGTAAATTTACAGTACAGATAAGTTTTTACAGAATTTACTACATTGTTGCGCTTTTCAACGAGAAAAATACATCTCTAAACTGGAATAAAAGAGAAATGAATTTCGGCCGTTTCAAACCTTGCAGAGTCTTGACCGTGGTAACGCGTAGGTCACAGGTCGCGCAAAATCCAACCAATCAGAGCGTGAATTCATCGGAGTATCCCAGCGTCCTGTTTGCAGGGCGGGGGGTACGAGCGAAAGAACTCGTATGGCCATTGCGTAAGAAAAGGTTTCTGACGATGTCAATAGAGGGCGCCTTTTCTTCTGTTTTTTCCTCATGTAGAATTTTTGACATTTTTATGACAGATTTTCTCATTCCCAAGCAAAGTGTGAATCAGGTAACAGTTTTTTTTCGATATGGTACACCATAATCTACATGTCTGTGAAGTTTTTCTAAGATTCGGCGAACCAGACCGCGTGGCAAGCGAAAAAAAGGCCTCGTCCCACGGACTACAAGCCTGAAAAGTCGAGTAAATGCCGTTTCCCCACAAGACAAGTGTATTTAGGCATATGTACACAAAATTGCACAAACTTCATAGTCTGCACACTTGTGGCCTTCAGACATAATTTTCTCTTCTTCATTATTTACAACGAGCGACGATGGCGATCATTATCGAGATTATGAAGTCGTGTACCGTGAAGCATTCGTCCTCGCGATGCATTTAATTTTCATTGTCTTCTCAATTAAGCGTGTCTGAAAATAAGTGGTTGTCCGAGTGTTTGGATTCGCTTAATTGCCATTCCATATTATGAAGCCCGGGAAGGGACAGGGTGGAATTTTTTTTTGGCATTTGCTAATTCGTTCGCACGAACTACTAATTCGTTCTCACGAATTAGTAATTCGTTCGTACGAATTAGTAATTCGTGGGAACGAATTAGTAATTACTGGAGTTTGCTAATTCGTGCGAACGAATTACTAATTCGTGGGAACGAATTAGTAATTCGTTCGCACGAATTAGTAATTCGTGGGAACGAATTACTAATTCGTGCGAACGAATTAGTAATTCGTGCGAACGAATTTGGAAATTCAAAGAAAAAAATTCAACCTGTCCCTTCCCGGGCTTCATACTACGTGGTCTTTCCAGGGAATTAGTTTTTCGATATGCCCATTAAGTGCTTGGATTAATATGCGCAATGGCCTCGATTGTGTTGTTTTCGATGTAATTACTTATTGATAAAGTGTCAGTGTTTGCGGTGGAATGTCAATGTCGTTTCCGTTGGTAGTATTGGCGCATTTCAAGGGTGAGACGTGTTGTACAGAGTATAAATCATCCAGGAATGGAGGGGGGGGGGGGGGCTCGACCCCCAACCCCCCTCCTATGGATCCGCGCCTGAGTACACTGAAAAATTGGCTGGGTTAATTTTACCAAAGAAAGGGTGAAAACTGGAACTACCCAAACTTGGGTTCTATAACCAATTGTTTGCATGGGTTAGAATTTCTGCTAAATTCAACCAAAACTCAGTTGTGATCATTCTAGACCAAATTTAATTTGGTCTGGTGTAACTGTACAATTTTTTTGTTGAATTTAACATCAATTATTACTCAACTAGAACACCCCAAGTTTGGGGAGTTCCAATTTTCACCCTTTCTTTGGTAAAATTAACCCAGGCAATTTTTCAGTGTATACAAATCACGTGAAATTTTCAAAGTTACTATAGTCAATAACATGTACTTTATCCCCATGTTATTTTTTATGAAATGGAGCAAGCCATAATATTTTTGTCTCATCCGATCACCCCACATATGTAAAGAAATTGGAATGCCTTTGAGTGCACAATGATGTGCGATCAGTCAATGTAGTAGTACTCGGACTCGTACTCGTACTGGAATGTCAAAGTACTCGTACTCGAAATGACGGTACTCGAACTCGAGCAGCAAGGTACTCGTACTCAACATGTCGAAATTGTACTCGATCATCAAAGTACTCGTACTCGAATAGCAGTACTCGGGGGAAAATGGTATAGCTTGACTTTATACACCATGGCCTTATTTTATCGATTCTTTCAGTTTGAAATGGTTGATTGGCTTGTGGAGAAATCAAAGTTTCCTGACTTTCTTCTGTGTACGTCCAGACAAACATAATTAACAGCCGTGATTGGGTCTGTATAGGCCAATTTGTCTGACTGGGCCTGGGCAGTTACGCACAATGAACCATTTGCCGTATGGCCGTATTCGGAATACAATTACGTGTACTCGTACTCGTACTCGGAAGTATAAGTACTCGTACTCGGAAACCTGATCTTGTACTCGGAGATACAAGTACTCGTACTCGCACTCAAGCTCGGCAACCTAAGTACTCGGCAGTACTCGGTACTCGTAAAAAAGTACTCGACTACAACACTGCAATCAGTTTGCATCGGAGGATGTGATAACATGCACTGGCTGATTTTTTATACACAGTCACGAATGTCAAGTTTGCCTTGACTGGCCTCCGGGTGAAATATTAACAGTGTCCTTCGTGCCTTTTTGAAGTCTGTGAAGGCGCGGACCTTGTGTTGATCTTGAATTGGCCGTTGCGCACGGGCATATTGTTGTACAATTTATGCCTAGTGCACACCCCGGAGTATTGAAACATATGAGGTTTCGGCAAGAGACAAATACTGTTGAAACATAGAGCTATATTAAATTACTAGAGCGCTAACTCATCATTCTGCGTGCGGAGACGCTTTGAAGCCGTCCTGGACGCAGACATTTTTAATTCATGTGCGTGTTTGTAGAACATAAAGAAATTAGATGGATTGAATTTTGAAAGTGTACTCTATATGCAACGCGCAAGTAGAACACGCAAACAACTTATCCGCGTCATTGACGGTTAAAAAAAAATGTGACGGCAAGAAGCATCTGCAGCAAATACGCGCACGCGTTGCGCTATTTGCGTGGAGCAAAATGACACGCTCATTTGCTGATCGTGCGTTTCGGTTTTGGGCGTATCGGCTTCGATGACGCACCGGTGTGGAATACCAACACAGATATGCAAATAGACGTACAAAAGCCGTACAAAATTTCTAGGTCTCCATAGGTTTTTGCACAAACATGGATGCGCCCAGCAGGCATCTCTTTGTACACGGAGTTAGCGCTCTAGTAATTTAATATAGCTCTATGTGTTGAAATTACTCTAGCCAATCAATTTTAATGGCGCTTAACTGTATATCAGAAGTTGGCTTGAAAATGTTGCCTTTAGTTGCGAAATCAAAAATTTTCGGCAAAAATAATCCCAAAGTCGAAGTGGTCAAGTCATAAAATTTTGCTTATGGGTTTTGCAGCTTTGTACGTACATAAACACCCAATGTTCCTCAATTTATTCCTCAATTTGATGGAGTCGATATCAAGCAATAAAGTAAGTCTTGCGTCAGTTACAGTGACGGTAGGATGCAACACAAAATTGGTTCTTCAAAATACTGTCGGTTGTTTCAAAACGTCGCTATGTTTTATGCATGTCAATTCGATTCAGGTTTTGCTCACTCAACAATTTCAATTTTGTTTTCTCAAAAAAAAATGCAAAAATGCCTATTCACTTTTATCCAAAAAATATTAAACAGTGTGAGCTCCCACCAAAGTCTATGATTATGAAAACCATTTTATGTTGCTGCTTTAAACACGTATTTTGTAAGTAGGTACAGAAACGTCATGGATTGCATGAAAGTATGCGCTAAAACATATACAAAACATATAGGCCCTATGTCTATATACAAAACGTACGTTGATTGTCCAGTGATAAAATACATCAATAGAATAAGATATAGAACATCATCATGTGATTTTTTATCGATTTCTAACGTTTTGAAGATTAGCGCTAAAACTCTCGAACCAAACATGCTAAATTCGAAATTCGTCATCATGACGTCATCAAAATGCGATTTTTAAAACACATATAAGGGAAAGTCTGATTGTCATGAAACTTGGTGGATAGCTAGATAATGATACTAGTATGCAAAATCCAAAATGACGTAACCATGATGTCATCACATGATTATTTAATGATCTTTTTTTAATATTTACAATTTCATTCCGCTTCCAAAATTTACCACTTCCTTTCATTGGATTGACCTCAAGCTTGGAACATTCCAAGACCACAATGCAAAATTGTGCATTGACAAGCGTTATCAAGACGACGTCATCGTAAGGCATGTGATGTCATCATATAGGTGCATTTGTATATATTGAGAAAACTGTCAGTCCGAATGGGTCATTTGTATACTATGGGACCAGTTGTACTATAAGCTTAGCTTTGCGTATTATTTCATCATTTTATCCCTTAAACATTTGAAGATTGCATTTCATTAATTGTGTTATCGACATTAATCTAAAACTTCAAAAGCCTTCGGGCGCTCTCAAACATCATGTATTAACTAGAATTCAAGCGTTAGACTGTTGCAAATGTTATATACGGCTGAATATTAATCACGGTGACATCCAAGAAGCTCCAACCGCAGAGCAACCCCATAATTCCATTGGGTAGGCTCAATGCGCACTAACGTTGCCACCACACTCCCATCGAACATGTTAGTGACCGGGCTGGTGCCATCTGTATTACCGACGAACTCCTGAAATGTAAATAAACACTGTGACAATGTTTGAATGATTCTACATAAGTTATGCATTATGAGCTCCGTGCGCTACCAAAAGAGGGAGCCCTTTTACCTAACAACGACGTCTCATGGGCGGGACATTTCGCTGGTTGACGCGCACTGTGTGTGGCGCCCGTACACCAGGGGATTGTTCTATGTACACACAATGGCCGCGCTTATGCAGCAAATGAATATTGCAGTCAGGCAAGATGGCGTCGGTCGATCACCCCCAACTGTACTTCCTTTGCTGCTGAGGGGGTACTTGTGAACAAAGCGCCTAGTGAAACAAAATTACGAATCAGTCGGTGATGTTATTATTCATTTTAAACCATGTCGCACGCAATTTTAAACCTATGTTACATCACAGTCCATAATTTAGTCCCTAAAGGACCACGAAGTGCTCCACTGGAAATTTAAAACCTTAATGCACGGAATGTTAACTTACAGTCAACTGGTTGCTAAGGCAAAGGGTCTGCCGATGTTAGGCAAAGCTCATCCGATTACGTGCTTAGACGCTATAGCGGAGCAGTGAAATTCACGCACAACAAAAAAACGTCGCCTTTTGAACGTTGTGTTTCTCAGGAAATATGCTCAGTATGATTGAAATGTTAAAATATAACGAAAGAAAGAAATCTACAATTTATGTCAGTGAAAACAAAATCGTCGTCATCGATGCCGAAACGTCAAAACTGGTTACTGGTATAGCTGACCTTCAAGTCTGGAAGAAATCGTTTGAAAACTTCCTGAAATATATGCATTGATATAAATTTCTAGGAATTTCTTCAATTTTTTTTTACAAGTAGTTGAAAACGTATATCATCTAAATATATGCCGAATTTCAGCTTAATCTGTTGTTGCAAACACTAGTGTTACACCGTAAACTATATATCTCCCAGGAAAATTTCAACGAGGATTTTCTGCCGACCAAACCCGCGTGCACTGTTCAGCAAAGCGCCCTAGACGCTACGGCTGACCGATTTTGGCTAAACGACACAATAACGTATGGTAGATATATGCATATTCGTTAGCGTCACTCGGCGTGTTTTGGCATGCAGGGTCTCGGTATTGACCAATGGAAGCCGGCAAAAAGGGGGATATTCATCAATTAATAACTCGTGAAGGAGGCTTTCTCCAAATTTACTACTGCGCACCATAATGGATATGAACCATATCAATATTAGTGAGGCTTGAGAAGATTGACAAATATTGCCCACGCCAGTGTTAAAACTTTCAAATATCCACGTAGCCAGGTATATCTTTTCAATTTCATTTCATTTTTTCCCCACATTGGATCATTATAAGGGAAATAAATCCTGAAAGTTGCATGAAGATATGGTCTTCCAAAATGGAGAAATTTAATTTTCAAAGATTTCACCTGCCAACGTGAACATGTCTGTGTACATGTAGTTGCATTCAAAATTAAGTGTTACGTAACCTTTAGAAATCGCCCTTCGAAACATAAGGCTGCTTAATATCTTACATGGGGCTATTATATTACTAATCCTGTAAGGGGAATTTCACGTTTTTTTTAAATTACCCTGGCCACTGAGGATTATCATTAGTTATACATAACGGTTCATTGGGTCTATCTCCATGGGTAAACAAAGGACTTTCTTAAGGCTGTTTTCGATGACTCTTAATCTGGCTTAATATGTTGAAAACTCCGTAAAAATTTAGTTTACTGTAATTTCAAGGGGAAATAGCTCTTTCAAAATTTTTAATACAACACACTATGAACATCTTCATCCCCAACCAATGCCAAATCAGCTGGATCAATGAACTTTGCAGCCAGGGGTTCACCCGAGCCGTACAACAACCTTTCGACCAGGCCTCCTGCCAAGTCAACCTTGAAACATAAACAAACACTTTGTAGCCGCAAACCGCAGCCACCAATCAATTATCTTTTAAGTGCACTGTCTGGCAAATGCCTGGACACTGTCTGGCACATGGCTTTTTGTTGTTTTGACATGGATAGGGTCTCGCTTAGTGGGGGAAGTACCAAGGGTACGCAGTTGGCGTCTTCTGATAAAAATTTCTTGTAAACGCGTCGCAGGGTTAACAACACGAGGCTGTTGTACGGAGTTTATACAGTCTACATGTAAAATGGCTTTGGTTAGTCCCGACAAGAGTTTAAAATAGCAGTTTATATTTTTTTTTTATGGTTATGGCACATTCGATACACGAAATTGGCAGCATATAAGACAGGGTGAGACGCAACAAAACAGGGAAACATTTACCACGGCGTATCCGTTTCCATGTTTCACGTATTCATAGTTACTCGAAGCCTTCTCCTGATACTTCACTTTGTAGTTTGTCGTCCACCTGGTTTCACTTTCTAACTGCCAGCCTTGGGTGGTGATACCAGACACATTTCTACACTCACCGAAGTCCACCTCGATCCAGGAATTGGCGTTGACACTGTACGCAGAAAGAAGGGAGATGAGAAACAGTGAAAGCATTGAAAGACACATAATCGCACTGCTAGACCCGCCCATGCTTCGCTCTAACCCACCGGGCGATGCAAACAGGACGCTGGGATCGGCTGATGAGCTTCACATAATCTTTTGAAGGAAGTGGGGATGGTATTCTGAGTAATTTATTATGACTTGTGTATAAAGCAGCTATTTTGAACCCCCTCAAAAGCCCCACAACGCACGGATCCGTATGTAAAAAAGGACAGAATTACAACAGTTTAGGAAGCAATTTTGGATCATCAAACACGCTTTTATTTATTCATTTTGGTGCCGGTGTCGGATTGGAACGGCGCCCCCACTGAAAGTTTGTGGTGGTGAAATTCCTCCCTGCGAAAATTCCTGGATCCGCCCCTGCCTAACCATTCTGATACTTATGTTTTGTTTCAGTGTTTTGCATCAAAGAATTGAAATGGAGTGGGAAGTGTCAGGTATGATTTTCCCCTGTATGATACTTACTCGGGTAGCCATGCAAAGTCGGCCTGGTTCAGGCGTGCCATGCTGGCAGGGAATGCTGGGGTCAGTTTCGAGGACGCCGTGATGCGATCATCGGGGATGGTCCCATCCTCCATGCCAAGAGGGTGCAGACACTCGGCTGTCAATAAAACGAACAAAAATATGCATACAAGTGGGAATATTTTCATCGCACGGGTTCCCATCAGCAGTGGCACATCTACGTCAGGGGAGGGGGGGGGGGGTCAGTTATAAAAAGTGCTTGCAAAGGACTTAGAATGCGGCAATACAGCACAAATTTAACGTTGTACATGGATATGTATGTTGAACAGCGCCCCAAGCGTAGGATGATATCAAATGAACATTTTAGAGTGCATGCTACTGGGCGCCATATCACATTCTGGCTGACGGTTGATTCGAGAACGGACGGGCAAGCCTGAGGGAGGGTGATGTTTGGGGTCAGGAGATGCGTAATTTACCAGCTAGGGTAGATTTCTTTCCCATGGTAGTATGACTAGCTGGGGTAGATTCCTTTCCCATGGTAGTGTGGCCGGCTGGGGTAGGTTCCTTTCCCATGGTAGTATGGCCAGATGGGGTAGTTTCCTTTCTCATGGTAGTGTGGCCGGCTGGGGTAGGTTCCTTTCCCATGGTAGCATGATGACCAGCTGTGGTCGGTTCCTTTCCCATGGTAGTGTGGCCGGCTGGGGTAGGTTCTTTTACCATCGTAGTATGGCCAGCTGGGGGAGGTTTCCTCCTTCCTGGGCAACGCTTACGTATCTCTTGCATGACTTGCTTCATCCAGTCATCCGGATTATCAGGATCAGGTTCCGGTGGGGGACCGGAGTAACACACCCTCTGCTGGCTCTCCACGCCAACAAGGATGGCTTTGAATTAAGACAACGATTTCAATTATTACCGTTGTGAAAATAAGTGGTAGCTAAACTTAGCTTAATGTGTTTTCCCCCGGCAATTTTCAGGACTTTCCGGAAGATTTGTCATTTCGAAGTAGTAACAAATCATCTAAATAGTCATTTAGGCGTCCTACTCCATCAGAGTGACACCACAAAGTAACACCCAAGTGAACTTGTATGCGCGCTTATTTTACAGAACTGATCGATTTTCATTTACTCTGAATAGGCAATATTTTCACGAAGTAACACTCATCTTTATTTCACCAGTTAGAAGGCTTTTTATCAAAATGTTCTGTAATCCTACAAGAAATGGTATTAATCACATCCCTGTCAAAAGTTGGAAAACACTTGAATCTAAATATAGGTTTTCCCGGTCATTTTAACACTTGTATGACACGAATTCCCTCTATCGATGCTTTAAATTCGTCTCCGAACATCGCTAAGCTCAATTTTCAATTTGGATTTCAGAAAGCCACCACTAGATTTTATTTAAGGTTCAGAATAATTCAAATGTTTATCATACCGATTCGTCTTACATTTGTGATTTCGTCTCGTGTAGCAAAGCGGCGTTGAATTGATAATGCAAATTGGTTTTTTTTTTGTCATTCGTTTTAATGTTGTTGTCTTCACATTTCGTCTCTGGTGACCTAAAACGTTACTATAGGTTTTCCCAGTTATTTTAACACTTGTGTCACACAAATTGCTTATTTCGATACTTTAATTTCGTCCCCGAACATCGACAAGCTCAATTCTAAATTTGAGTTTCAAAAAGCCACCACTAGATTTCATATAAGGTTCAGTATAATTCAAATTGTTAGCATTCCGATTCGTCCAAAATCTTTGAAATTCGTCTCGTGAAGCAATCGGCGTTGCATTGACAAAGCAAATTCGTTTTTGTCATTCTTTTTGATGTTCTTGTCGTTACATTTCGTCTTTGGTGACTTAAAACGTTTGGATTAATGTATCCAATCTATGGACTCGTTTTTGCATTAATTAAATTTTAATTATTTTAACAAATATTTAAACAAGTATAGCTGTATGTTTTGAGTTTTCTTTGACAATTAACATTGAAATTAGAAATTGAACTTTTACAATGTGCTCTTTGTTTTACAGCATACGGAAATTAAGCATTTAGATCAATCACCTTCGTAATGTTATATATGTTTATAGATAAAACAACAGAAATAAGGTATGATGTCTATCCAAGAACAACATTGAACTTAATGCTTAGTGTCCATGTCATAAGTGTATATTGTGGCGAAACAGTCGGTGGACTGGTGCGAGTTTACCTTGGCTCACCTGGTTCCCCGACGTCGTGCGTAGGGTATAGCGCGTAGTCGGAGATTTATAGGCAGTCCGTCTAAAGACGCCATTGTGTGAACATCGATAAGTGGAAACTTAGCGTTGAGCTCCGATTCCGAGTAAACCTCGTGCGTAGCTAGTAGACGTAGAGAAAGTTTGGGCAACGCGGCGTGCAAGTCAAGGGCGGATTGAGACTTTAGAGTAATAATAAGCAAGCTAGACCTTTTGTTATAAGAGGAAATTAGCCTGGGTTGCTGTGGGTTGAGCTGGTGACTGGGGACCTAAGGTTCGTGTGGTACGTGCAGCAATATTCCCTGGTCGGGAATTGGGTTGCCTGTCGCCTGTCGACCTTTGTCGCCAGGAGTCACCTCGGGATTATAAACCGCGCTCCGTAACCTGAGCCCAGTGATTTCTGTATGCTAGGTTGCATGTGAGGGTTACTCTGGTAAAGTCTTGATCAGTTTGTGCAGTTCATAACGTGTTGCTGTTGTTCGCACTGGGTGTGCACAGTGAGGTTCTTGCCACTGTGGGATAATCTTTCTAGATAATCGACGAGGTTAATTACATAGAACCTGGTTAGGCTGGTTGTTGTAAGCAAAGGCTTACTTTATAGGGATAAACCTAGAGCAGCGGGGAACGTTGTTCTGCGAGGTTTATTTGCCACTCATTGAACTTTAAGCCTGTGTATTAGACCAAATAAAGAGTTGTTTCTTGTTCTCTAAGACACATGTGTAGTGAGGTTTATTGAGGTTCCCTGGTCACCTCTAGGTTGCTTGCCACGTGAATTGGTATTCCTTTAGCGTACGAATATTTCCAACAAACGGACAGGCCTAGGACTTGAATCCTCCGTTCGTGACGTTGTCCCCCCTTATTTGCGTATAACCGCTCACTGTGCGCATGTAAGGTCATTAAATATATCTGTGGGATAGTGAGCTCTTGTTGGTGTGGGTGTAATTCCTTATCCATAGACGGACCGATTTGCAGGCTGTCAAGTACTTTTCCGCAAGTTTACAGGGTAGTGCACTGAGGTTGATTGGTGAGGGTGCACCATCTGGTCGCGTGCACACCTATGGTGAGATTGTGAAGTTGTTAGAGCAGAGGTTTGGGCATAGTCAACAAGCTGAGAACTTTTTGGTGGATTTACGGCATCGTCGGCAGAAACCAAAGGAGACTCTTCGTGAGTTGGGTCACGCTATTAGAGAGTTGACGGTGAAGGCTTATCCTGAGATACAGGAAGAAGCCAGGAATTGGCTTGCCAAGAATCATTTCATGGATGCTGTAGAGAGTCAGTCAGTGCGGCAGGGCATTCACCGAGCCCGTCCCAGGGGTCTTGATGAAGCTGTTAGGGCGGCACTGGAAACTGAGAATTTTGAAAGAGTTGAGCAGCAGCGGAGGCAAGATAACAAGCCGACCAAGTTTGCCAGAGCACTCGACAGTAGTCCGGAGGATAGGCTTGAGGAGATGGGGCACGCCATCGAAAAGAGGGTGTGTTCCATGGTCGAGTCATTGTTTTCTGGGTTGTCGAAGCAGAAGCAAAGTGGGGAAACTGAGAAGGTAGTGTCTCCGTCGAGATCACCTAAAACTCCTAAGAAGGAGCGAGGTGATCAGAAGTGTTATAACTGCGGTGAACTAGGTCATTTCCGGCGAGCATGTAAGGGGCCGCGGCCGAAGCAAGGTTCCGAGCAGGGAAACGCCGTCGAGCCGACCGGCGGGCTCGCGGGCAGGCTGGAAAGTTCACTGAGCCCACATGAGGTTGTAGTCAGAAGAGACCCCCAGGTGGGGCAAGCGACCAAGTAGTGGTCGCAGGCCCCATTGGTGGGGGAAAGGCAAAATATACCGAGTCGACCGACACTGTGGTGAGCAGCATAGTGTATCACCAAATTCCACGGGAACAGAGACCAATTTTGGAGACAGGACTGAAGGTGGAGCAGGTTGATGGTAGTCCGTTGGCAGTGGTTGGGGCTGCCTGGGTGAAGGTACAGATAGGGAAGACAGTAGCCACTGCGAAGGTGATCTTTGCCGACGTCCCGTATTCAGGAATTCTGGGGATGACATTCCTGTTGCCCATGGGTGCGAGTTTGGATCTGCATTCTCTTCAACTGAGGTTAAATGGTGAGCACATTAAATGCACTAATAGTGCTGGTGAGTCGTTTGTGGGGAGGGTAGTTGTCACTGAGACTACGGAGATTCCCTCTGGCCATGAGGCTGTGGTGCCCGGCACCATTTCAAGGTTGTGTGAGGTTGTTGAGGGTCCTGTTCTTGTTGAGCCTGTGGAGGGTGGTGGTGAGTTAGCACAGCGAGGTTTAGGTCTTGCTAGGTCACTGGTTGAGGTCGACTTGGACGTGTTGCCGCTACGGGTGCTTAACCCTTGTATGGAGAAGCGCGTCGTGCGGCGGGTTACCACCGTAGGGATGGTCTGTCAGGCTGAGGTTGACCGTAGTCATGATATTCCCTTTAGAAGAGGCGAGGTTGAGGGTAACCTCCCTGAACATCTACGGGACCTGTACAGTAGAAGCGTGAGGTTTCTGAGGGATGAGGATCATCATCAGGTGATGAAGTGTCTGTCGGAGTATAATGATGTGTTTTCTCAGGGTGAGCACGCTATTGGTCGGACCGAGGTTGTGGAGCATCACATTAACACGGGCGGTGCGGGGCCAATTAAAGAGAGGCCTTGGCGTCACCCGAGTTGTAATCAACAAGAGATCGTGAGGCAAGTCCGTGATCTTGAGGAGAAGGGTGTCATCGAGCCGTCGGATAGTCCTTGGGCTGCCAACGTTGTCTTGGTCAAGAAGAAAGATGGTACGAAGCGATTTTGTGTCGACTATAGGGGCCTTAACGCATGTACCATCTAGGATGCCTACCCTGTTCCCAGGATAGATGAGACGTTGGATGCGTTAGGAGGAGCTCAATGGTTTTCCACACTCGATTTGGCCTCGGGCTATTGGCAGGTTGCCCTTGATAGGGACGCCAGCCAGAAGTCGAGTTTTGTTGTTCGCAACGGCTTGTATAGGTGGAAATGCATGCCTTTCGCCTTTGCAATGCTCCGGCGACATTTGAAAGACTAATGGAGAAGGTCATGGCTAGTCTCAAGTGGGACATCCTCTTGATTTATCTTGATGATGTGATTGTCTTTGGGAAGACTGTGGAGGAAGAGGTACAGCGTCTCAGGGTTGTGTTCGAGAGACTCTCTTAAGTTCCGCCGTAGCTCAGCTTTCAACTGTTGAACCTCCCATTGCAGCAATTGATTCTTATCCATAGACGGACGATCCGAGCGCGCCACAATATTGTGAAATTCCTGATTTTAATGTTAATTGTGAAACACAGAAATAAAAATTCATACCTTACAGCTAACTACTTTCATTTATACATATAAGGAAATATATGCTGAATTATCATTGTTTTAATACGCATAATTCTTCACATAAGTATAAAGATTGGGCGCATTTTCTAATCGTATGCGATTTAAGTCACCAGGGACGAAATGTAATGACAGCAACATGAAAACGAATG